CGGCGGCCCGCAGGTGCCAGGTATATCTAAACAACTACCAGCCTGTACAGTGGGGTAAGGCGGTCATTTTGCAGCTTGTGGTATAAAAATAGACAATGGCTAGAATATTCATGTGAAAATAGTACCATATTCTGACATGCCTGTAGAAATGTTGGGTCAAAAATAATGCATACAATAGCACAGATGCCTTCACCACGAATGGCTACAAAAATATCTCATATCCCAAGCTTATTATCAACGAGCTGATGTTGCAGCTGAAATGTTCTCCAGGTCACAAAGTCAACCTCACATGATGATGTGATACCAGTTTTCAAGCACAGTAAATATTCTCTTCCCAGAGTATATGATGGGACCAAGGTGATGATGTAGTAGGCTACATGGTTTTAATAATACTTATGCCTTTCAATGTTTGCCATTTCAAACCATGAGCATGGTTTAAATAATATTTGCCTTGATTTACAATATGTTAACCTTCATTATAGTCCTTGACAGCAGTCTGTACTGCTATATTAACAACGTGTCACATGTTAAGAATTTACAATCAGAATCGAGTATTCAACTAAGCCCTGTAATACAAGTTGTTAGTAGCCTTAAGGGCCTACACAGTTGTTATGCTATACCACATTGCCCTTCACTGGATGCACAATGAGCTGCACTAAACTACATTTTAGCATTTAAAATACCTAGCTATTCTTTTGCGGTTATTTTGGTGAAAGTAACTAAAGTACTGTAACTCATTACATTTCAGAGACAGTAATATTGTAATGTAACTTATTACTTTCAAAAGAGAGTAATAAGTAATATGTAATATATTACATTTTGGAAGTAACTTGCCCAACACTGGTGTTGAGCAATTAATCGTGTTTTAATTTTGGCCTGCCACAATTGCGAAAACAACATAATAGAAAAAAACTATTATTTAGCTTTGCTAGGTTGTGACAGTGCACTAGAACATATTTGATCTAATTCCTTTTAGTCTAATTTATTTTTACTTATCATATTTATATATGTTTAGTAGCTTGTGGAAATGCCCTCCAAAATATTTGTTGATCTTGTTTATTGGTATTTATTATTTTGATATTATTTATTTAAATGTATCATTTATTTAATTAATTTTTGTATTGGTCTTTGAGTTGAATTATACGTTCAGGGTAATCAACAGTTAAAAATATACTGTTCAAATTATACACATTATGTTTTAAAGTTCAATAAATGGATGTTTTCAAAGTCAGTGAATAATCGTGATATCAATTATTGACCAAAAATAATCGTGATTATGATTTTTGTCATAATCGAGCAGCCCGTGTGTGTGTGTGTGTGTGTGTGTGTGTGTGTGTGTGCGTGTGCGTGTGCGTGTGCGTGTGAGAGAGTGAAAAGAGCTATTGTTTGTTTGTAGCCTTTATTTAACCAGGTGAAAGCCCCTTGAGATCAAAAGATCTCTTTTTCAAGGGTGACCTGCTATATTCAGAGCTCTGCTGCCTTGGCTACAATCTTTCATCGTTGCCGTTGTATGATTGGTGTTTAGCTACGGTATTTAGCGTCTACAACACCTCCGGTTTTAGGGTTGACGTAGACCCAAACGTCGCCCGGAGGTCCCCCGGTGTTGTTGCGGGAGCTGCTCGGAGCTGCTGCACTAGCTAACGCTAAACTAGCTAACGCTACATTAGCAAAACAAACGCCAATTTATTTTGCAAAAGGTGCAGCGGGCTTCAAACACCTTCCCCTCCACTGGTTTCAACCAAGCACTAAATTCGATGTTTTCCAACCAAATACGGTTGAACTGACACTTCCCCATATTTATTTGTAAGTAGATTTGAAGATACCTGAGTTTCTGACTGCCGCAGAAACAGACTGCCGCTAGCTGAAGCTTGGTTGCTAGGTTACTAGCTGGGTGTTCTCCAATAAGGGGCCGGGGGAAACAAAGTTAATGATTACTGGTTCCATGTTGATTTATTTCAATACAAATTGTTGGGGGGAACTGAAAGGCTATTACCGTCCTGGTTACTTTGCAGCACGGACATTTTCCCCAAAACACGTTTAGACGCGATCTCAACAAAGAAGTACCTTTCAAATCCTATCATTTTTAAGACCTTTCTTATTTTTTTTGGTCATATTTAAGACCTTTTTTAAGGCCTTAAATTCAGATTATCAAATGTAATACTTTTTTAAGACCCAGCGGGAACCCTGTGTATATAGTGTAGTGGATACTGCCCTGAATGACAGACTTTTTTCCCAATCGTAAAAAAAAAGAGGCGTATTCGTCGTGTGATTGCATGCACCGAACCGTGACGGTACGGGACGAATACGGATACCGTTACACCCCTACTAAATAGTGAAATAAGAAGAGCCTTGGTGTCCTCAACACACACACCACAATAAGGGATTGGGTAGCATCAGCGCTTTGTATTTTAAGTAGGGGTCGACCGATTATCGAGGCCGATATTCCGCATTTTACAGATGATCGGTATCCGTCTTTTTTTTTTATATCAAATTGCCGATACAACTTTGGCTCTGATGCAGCCGTTTCTCTGGCTGCACTCACCACTGTTCACGGTCAATGTCCCGCCCACAGCACTATCTGATAGGCTAGGGGTGGGTAGCGTCTCGCAGCGGAGAAACTGTGACGCGCTGGGACGACTGCTAGTGGAGCCTTTTGCACCACAATCTGGTGCTGCTGAATTGGGACTACTAAATGAGTGAGTTTTAGTAGTTTTTATTTTTAACTTTAATTTACTTTACTCAGGGTCACAGAGAGGAAACCAGTTTTGAGATGTTGAAAAGTTCGTTGAACATAAAAATGCATTTCAAAGAAGTTGTGTTATTCTACATTTTGACACCAAGATTTTCAGATTTTACTGCAAATGTATATCGGTTCCAAATATCGGTTATCGGTCTCCTTGATTACTAATAATTGGTATCGGCCTTGAAAAAGCCATATCGGTCGATCCCTGATTTGAATTACTTCATGGAAAAGTATAAAGTATAACATTCAGGATTGTCCTTTAAATCCAACAGTATATTACAAAAAAATAGACTTTAGGTGTCAGTGCTCAACGACAACTGTTTCCCCCAGGATTACAAGTCTATATATGGCTGTATTTATGACTGCCTATGTTTATTATTAATGTCACGTTTTCAACAAGGATGCGGTGTCCCTCAAAAGGTTTCTCAGCATCCTCTGTGATGGAGGAGCTAATCATTAACTACTAAAATATATTTTATATTTGATAAGGCAAGATGTAATGATTGTTCAGTGGACCGAAGCTATGCAAACACTATCAGCTGCTGTGTGGTGTGATAACAGCCAAGGCATGACTAGTAAAAGCGACACTATGTCAAACATATTTCAGCTAGCATCTGCAGATGTTAGTTTATATGTGCCAGTTACAATGGCATCTAAAACACATGACAAAACCTGTCTTGAGGTGTGTCGCTTCTCAAAACACATGACAAGTGAACTGTATAGTATGGAATATAACTTTAACCTGTACATCGAGAGATACCTAGTGGTGTCCCCATCACCTTAACGTTGAATTAACCTTAAGCTTACATTACACTAGCTAACGTTCCAATAGCTAGCATTAGCATATTGATTTTCTCACCAACTTTATTCTTCTTCAGTCTCTCCCATCTGCTGCCGGGGACCGGGGCCGCTGCTGCCTCCGCCGCCGTGCACAGCGTCCTCCTCAATACACGCCACGAAGCCATTCCAGATTAATTCAGTCCCGAGTGCAGTCAGTCACCTTCAGGCAGAGCAAACATGCTGATAGTCAGGAAGACAGCTCACATGCCGGAGCCAAAATGGCGCCCCTCACGGTGATTCATTTTCATCTTCCGACAGAAAACTCTACCTCGCAAACGTTCCGCTTTCTGTCACCAAAGGCTTTCATATTTTTAATAGATCGTGCAATTGTGTTAGAAACAAACGTTTATTGATATTTTATTGAATATAATATGTCACTCAACTACACAGTATTATATATTTAAATCAACAAACCTCCTTTTAGAAAGACTCAAATGGGTCACGTGACAGCTTTGTTTACGTGGTGACGTGTACCGGAAGCTAACAGACTGACTGTCAACTCGCTACAAAGACAGATGCTAGCAGTGTGTGGTTATTTTCTGTCCGTTTATTTAACCTACGTGTACTGGGGTTGATATATTTGATTTGGCTTCTGTAAAATCTTCAAACAAATGAGAAACATAAGTGTTGTGTGAATGTAGCCCAGCGTTAGCCCGGATCAGCTGTCACACAGGTCATCCTGCTGCCGAGGAGCACAGGTGGGTTTAACCTGTTCTCAGCACAAAGCCAAGGAACAATTATAATTTAAACATTATTTCTCAACATTCGAATCTATACTTTAAAGAGATTGCTTGGTAAGGTTGAAGATTGGCTAATGGACAGATGATTGATGTATAATACCATATGTTTGACTGACAGAAAGGAATCCCTAGTATGTAAACGTGTCTTACCTGTGTCTTCTCCTAGGTCTTGCATGAGGTTGCTGTTTGATCACTGAAGCAATGGCCAGTCCTAATGATCTGCAATTCCAAGGTAAAGGCTGAAATTTAAATTAATCTTACTCAGATTGGCACATGTATGCAGGGACGTGCATAGACATTTTGGGGGGCGGGAGCAAGTGAGAAAAAGGGCACTTCCCATAATCATTTATAATAAAAAAAAATGTAAATCAAAAAGTTAAATATAGTTGCACATCTCTGACTTAGTGACCAATTTATTTTAATACCCTCACACTCACGCAATTGTTTAATACTCAACAGAATTCTACAAAATAATCAGCTAACACAGAGACAATGGCCTTCTTTAGTAATCACTACGCACAATAGCAGACAACAAACTAGTCAAATTAATAGTTATTAAATGAGCAGCCAACATTCAAAATTATGAAGTTACTGTTTAAGGACATTACAGGCAAAAATATCGTTTTTTCATGTACTTGCACACTTTGTTATTTTGGTCTATTTTGCTTCCATGTTTTCTTTCACTCTAATGGAAAGAAAAGTAAAAAAAAAAACATATAAATAGTGTTTGCTTTACTACCATGTCTGTATTCATCTATAGCCTAGATTTAAAGCTAATCTGCATATTTAAACTAAAATAACATTTCAGGGGAAAATACTGACTTGACGTAAGTAACTATCTGGGGAAGTTGTGAGGTGATATGTTTTTTGTTTTATCCTTTTCACCTGCAATGCCTTGGTAACTGCATGCAAATTAGTGCATTTCAATTAAGATAAGAGATAAGATAGTAGACTACTTTATTACTAGTGTACTAGTTAACGTGAATTTGCATATCAATGTGGCAATTGTGATGACGTTATTAGATACACATTTTACTGTATTCACCTGTAGTGTCTCCTCTTAAGTACAGTAGGCTAACTTATCCTGAATACCCATGATAAATTGCCTTCACTAAACCTTGAGTTAACTTATCCATTAGCTAGTAGCCTACCTTAGTTAACTATATTTGTTTTTGTCTTTTGGCTAATTAGCTGTAAACTTGAGGCACTGGCAGTTTAGTAATTTGTTCATCACCACTCTTCCAACAAGCCAAGAAAAGCCGACATAACATGGCACAGTAAAGTGGGAGGTGCTGCTACCTGTCTTTCTGAAGTGACAGTTAGGGTGGAGGTGCTGCTACCTGTCTGTCTGAAGTGACTGCCGATGTCCGCACCGCTGTGCGCGAGACGTGGAGGGAGGGTAGAGAGAGCATCGGAACTTCACAGTCTAATCTCCTGACCTGATATTTTTATTTTGTATTCCATCAATATCTTTTTGGAAAGGGAAACTGTGTGCAAACAGCAGTAGGCTAGATATATATTCATTTATTGGAGAGAAAAAAAAGCACCCCATAAAAAGGGCAATTTCTCAGGAGGAAGAAAAAGGGCAAGGGCTCAAGCCCACTTTGATGTCTATGTGTGCACGTGCCTGCATGTATGGCTTTGCTATTATAATCCTTCCTAATGCAACCTTTAAACCAAGCAACTGTTTAAAACCAAGCTTGCCTCCCAAACATTTTAAGGAATGTTTGGGGCATTTTTGTTAAGTGTTAAAGTATTGCATTTTCTAAATGGAAAACAAATCTTGTACCAAATGCACAAAGAACAGGTGTCATTCATATGATGAATGGAAATTAGTTGACAATGTGTTTCTTAACTATAGGCTCTCCTCTGGATGTAATTCATGATAATGGGTACAATTAGATAACAAGTTTAAAAGGAACGAAACAATCAATTAGAATAAAAAATGAAAGTTATTTTATGTTCCAAAAAAGTTACATTGGGCCTGGTGTAAAACAGAAGGAAATGCAAAACAACGGGCTGAAAAATGCAGAGTCCAATCTTTAACAGATTAACATTAAAGGAGCTGTGTGTTTTGCTTGAAAAAGGACTTCCGGCTTAAGGGGGGGTCATCTCCTCTGAACAGTCAGGGGCGCAGTGAGACATACACGAAAGCAAGGGACACATGGATTTGAATTAGAAGCCACTCATTTCTGCAGTTAGATTTTTGTCACCCCTTTTTTGTTTTTTACCCTGCACAATTTGCGCAATAGTGTGCTCAAACCGCCTCACTGCCATTCAAATCTTTATTAAAAAAATAACAGCAACTTATTTGCACATGTTGTTTATAAATATATACATTTTTAGTAGATTGTACTATTGAAGAGTACTAATTATTATGGTATTAGTAATAATTATGTGTATTGATATGTGTGTATTATTTAGATACTCCATAGAATAAAATATTTTCTACTGTTTATTTATTTTATTTTTTATTAGTTGGCAAGAAAATCTACAAAGATTGTACAGTGCAATCAGAGAGATACAGTATGTCCACGTTTTTGAGCAAGTTCCACGAAATCCATTCATTTGTCAAGTCTGTCACCACCTTCGCGCAGCTGCTGGCGCCACTTCGTCTGCGTCCTCCGCCAGCTCTCCCAGTTGTCCGTGCAATGTCCAGGGGCCTTCATGTCACGTTTTACGACATCCTTGAAGCGCAGCAGTGGTCGTTCCTCTGCCTCTGGAACCAGCGCTCAGCTCGCTGCGCGAAATTTTATGGTTTTTCAAATTTTTAAATGTTCCCATTTTAAATGTTTGGTTCATATTTTTAACTTTTGTGTTGTGTATACCTTAAACACACTTAAAATGCTCCTTAATGAACATGTAATTCCAATCGGAATCAGTTACAGTGAACCTCTAGTGGACATTGGTCATATCCTAACATTACTATCTTGATGCTTAAGAACTCCAATTACATTATCCATTTCCCAAATAGTTGGACTATTTTTTTAAATTAGATTATAATGTGTACCCTCACAAGTATCCACTCAATCCTGTGGTGATGCATCGTTTGTAGAGTTTGACGAAAGCAGCAGAGCTGTTGTCTGCAAGACCCCGGGGCCTCCACCTCAGTATGGTTCTGCCTCAAACCACCAGCACTACAGCAGCAGGGAAGGGGGGAGGGAGGAGAAGAGGAGGAGAGGATGTGAAGGCTTGACCTCTCAGAGGAGGGAGGGTGAGGAGA